TTAGGACAGGAGCAAACTCTGACTTTGAGTGAACAGGTAAATGTGATTACAGGGGTTTGCGCTAAGAATGCCTACCTTTGTGCCGGTGGAATAGCAATGGCTGGGAGCCTACTTCAAAGGCTCTTGAGAACAAAGAATCTTTTCTGAGGCCACTAACAAATCCAGCAATTCTTCCTGACCCATCTTTGCCAAGAGATACCAGCTAATGGCAGGACTAGCCTGCCTTGTGAGGGTAGCCAAGTGGGCTTGGGAACAAACATCTCCATGACATAATCAGGGGAGAACATACTGTTTATCTCCCTAATAACCATCTTGAAGAAAATTAATGCTACTTTGTCCTTTGTGCAGAGCAGTGATTGAATTGTGTATTCATTTCTAGCTGGACAAAGGCCAGCGCATTGCAATACTTCTCGATATTAGATTTTCTTGTTTAAAAATTAGATTTTATTGGCATTCTCCTTCTGTGATTTCTTCATTAAAAGCTTCATTAAGCATAAATCTCCTTTTACAAAGAAGAAAAACAAAAAAATTATTTTCAGGAGGTCATTTTAAAAGTCTTCTAGAAGAGTGCTGTTAAGCTTCACACTGGAGATTTGCCATGTCCCAGGGACCTGGTATTCCAGAGATGATATAATGATTGATCTTGCATGGATTTATCTAATATTAATTATACTGATGCTTGCAGCTATTTAATAAGCCAATGTGTTCCAGAGTCTCAAACTTTACAAATCTGATATTAAATCTTTTTTCATTATTATTTTAAGGTAGGAGATAGGCAGTAATGTCTTGGTTCTGAAGTGACTTAACTCCTGGGGTCTCATCTGCCCTGGAAGACAGGAAGTCATGCACCGGAGAAAGAAAGTTTGCACAGCTTACCATGCTGAGAAATGCAGCGAGCCAGTGAAGGGAACTGTGTGCTCTGATGGTGGGAGTGGGGGGGTTCTGGCATAGGGTGAACATGTCCCTGACAACCGTGAAAATGAAAGTGACCACAGTTCTCCCTGCTTTGATAGAACTGTCCTCAACTCCCCAGTCACTACAGACATCGGACAAGGTCACTTCTTGGCTCTACAGAGCAGCATTTTCCGAACAGGGATTGTATAAGGCTGGTGCTGTCTTTGACTTCTTATCATTCTGTGTTTCTGGCTCACAACCTCCCAGTGAAAAGAGATAATTTAATGAGCTGATTCGAAAGGCCTTCTCCATTGGGCTGCAAACTTTATATCGTAACAAAGAGAAACACAATGCGATATCAATGCATGGCAACCATACTAAAGACTGGGGCTAGCTCCATGAATTTAAAGGTGTATGTTTCAAAAGCCTGCAATAGGCCAGGGAGATATCTCATTGAAAAATACTTGCCAGAGTCCAAACGGAAAGAGTCAGTGCTTGTTTACCCCAGTTGCTGAGAAAGTGAAGACAGATGAATCTTTGGGGCCCATTGGTTAGTCAGCTACCCCGATATACTTGGAAAATGGGGCTCTAGTCTAGTAAGAAGAGACCCTGTCCAAAAAAAAACCTAGGGGTGTGTGCCTAAGGAATGTCACCCACGGTTGTCCTCTGGCCTCTACACATCTGTGTGCAGGGCATTTCCCCCATTTCTCTCACACACATGGAGCCCGGGAGTGGAAAATTCATTTTGTGATCAATGAAACCTAAAGGGATGGATTTGTCCAAAATGGTATTTCCCCTCCCAAAGGAGGAAATAGAAACAAAACCATATAGGCTTTACCTATGAGAATATTACAAGATGGTTGCTACACATAAGCTTTTTAAGAGAATTGCAAATGAAACTATTCCATTTTCTCTGGACAAGAACCAGAGAGGTAGGTGTAAGGTAAGGTGCATTTCTCTCAGGGCTGAGAGAGGTTTGAGAGTTTGAGAGCCAGCACCCATTGTTGGGTTAGGGGCTGAGAGGACCTGAGTTCTGAGCCTCCTGAGTTAGGGTTGCTGGGATGCAGGCACATGTTTGGAGACAAGGTGGTGCTCCGGCACCAGAAATGAAGCTGGCTACTAACAAGAGCCAAGACAAGAAGCACAGTAAACAAGTGAGTGCCAGGATGAGATGACACGGAACAGTTCCCAGCGCCACTTGTCATGGGCTGGCAGCTCTAACGAGGCACCTGAAGCTGAGTCCGTGGAGGACAAGCTGGGTTGCCACATTGTGCAACGGATCCGCCTTCCCTTGACTTTGCAGTTAGAAGTGAAGCCATCTCCTGACTTCCTCGTTAGAAATCTGCCCCTCTTAGACCAAGGCAGCTTTTCTACTCATTTCTCCCCTCCGCCACATACTCAGCAGTTTTGAGCCACTCACAGAACGTTCTTGTATTGGGTATCTATAGCGGCATTTTGTTTGTATTTTAATAAATAAAGCTTGCCTGGAGATTGAAGAGGAAAACAACCCTACTGGTCAGTCTTACAGACTAGGCAGTGGTAACACACACCTTTAATGCCAGTACCACACTAGTTGCATAGAAACCAGGCAGTGCATGCTTTTAGTCCCAGTGGTACACACCTTTAATCCCAGCCCTAGAGAGGATTATAAAACAGGAGGAGACAGCTCTCAGGCTCACTATCATTCTGAGATTCCTGAAGGCAGGATTGCCATTTTCGGATTGAGGTTGAGGTAAGAGCCAGTGGCTGGCTGTTTTGTTTTTGGGGGGCTTCAGTTTGAACCCTGATTTCTATCACTGATATTTTTTATTAATTGTGCCTCCCAAAGCTTCCCTGGCAGACTGTGGGAGCACAAGCTGTACTCTCAGTTTGCAGGGGTCCATCTCACAGCACATGGGGTGCCAGAAGCCAGAGTGACATCACATGGACCAAAGATACTGTGGTTGGATGCTCATGAGCCTTGAATGCTACCTGATCACTCCTTCCTCACTTCCTCTCCCACCCAATGCCTGTCAAAATAGCTGCAACAAAGGCAGGCAGTCACAGAGGTGGTCCAAAAAGATAGAATGGCATGATTCTGGTACAAAGTAAATATAAGTAAAAATGTGAAAAGGAGCTGAACTGGCCAAAAGGCAATTTGTATTTACCATAAAAGAATTCCACAGAGCAGAATAAGGTGCTAGGAAACTACAGAGAGCTTAATGAAGCATGGCTCCTATGAAGGAAGACCAGTGAGAAAGTGCAGAGGTAATCATGGAGGATGGAGAAGAGGTCAGAAACACGGTAGATTGTTATTTATAGATAAAGGGAACAGATAAAAAACCAGAAGTCCTAAGTGGCTTGATTGCTAAGGTAGATAAGAGCAATGCTTATCAAACTTTGGAATGCACACATAGAGATTGTGGTTTCTCACCCCCTGGCTATAAAGTATCTTGGGATTCTTGCTGTTCTCCTCTGGTCACCTCCTCTACTGTTGGAACTCCACACACAGTTTACACACTGATACCCTCAGCTAAAGTTCTTACCTGAAATCCTGCCTCATGCTTCACCTTCTAGACATTTGAATGCTTATGTATCTTAAGCAAGACATCAAAAATGAAACTTTCCATAGCCCTTGCCTGCCACACAGTAATTTTTGCAGTCATCTCCATGCTAATGAGCAGGGGTTCCTTCTACCTTGGGTCGTGGCTCAGTCCATCAACAATTCACGCCTCCAGAAAATGTTCAGAATTAAACTGCTTTTCACGACTGCCTCCAGCATTCTCTGCCTACCGAACTACCCCACTCCCTCTTCCTTACTGACCTCTCTACCTCCATCCTAGGCCCGTTACAGTCTGTTTTCTTAAGCAACAAGGGTGATTCCATGTCAGTCTTGGGCTTATACCTCTAAGAGGTTTTTCTCTGGGCATCATATTCAAAGTCTTAGGATGTCCCCTGTCACCTGACGTAAAGGCCATCTTTTGGCAATCTTCCTCTTTTATCCTTCTCTCCCACTCACTGGCCCCTGAATCATGACAGGAACAATGTCCCTTGCCTCAGGGCCTTGGCCTTTCCTTTTTCTAGTTCCCATATGGCACACTTCTCTACTTCCCTGTAGTGTTTCCTCAAATAGGAAGACAGTATGAGTGAATGGAGTAGGTGACAAAGGTCAGGACAAAGAATGACCTAGTAGTGAGGATGGATAACTCTTTGTCTTAGTGAATTATACTTCACCAAACTCTCCAACATTGCATGTGTTAAGAATACAATACTGAGCATGAATTTGTCCCCTGACCTTTCATTTGCTCTAAAAACAAAGCTAAAATAAACTACCTTGTCCAAGGTCACAAGGATAGAAGTTTCTGTAATCAGGAGTCATAGGTTGTACTCCAGTCTTGGGGCCCCAAATCCAAGGCCCTCCATGCATTAAAGTTTGGTATGTAGTTATGATAATAGTAAAAACAATTAAATTGGTGAAGGCCACGGCAATAGCAGCCATGAAAGGTTTCCTGCTGTTTCAGGTGCTTTAGATGCTCCGCTTCTTTTTCTGCAGCAGAAGCCTTGAGGGCAAGCACTGTCATTTTACATTTTTGAGAGGAGACTGACTCAGTGCTGAGTAGGTAGATGACCCAGGCACACCAGCGGGAATGGGAGAGCCAGGACAGACAGTTAAAAACCCGGCTCTAGATCTGCGTCCTTTAGCATCATGCCAAATCCCTGCTTTGTCTGAGAAAACTTTTTGCCTTTCTGTTAGACGTGCTAAACACTCTGTAGAGCTGGATAGAGTTGAATTCTCTAGTTGGGTAATTAGAGACTCACTGTGCTCAAAGGACTTTTTTTTTTTGAAGGCGTATGATGTTTAAGAAATACCATCTTTAAATTGAGGTTAAGTGTGAAGATCTTCCAGCATAATCGATAATTGTCTGAGTCTGTCAGGCAGTTAAACAGAGGTTTGTGGTTCCTGAAATATGAGAGAGTTATGGTCACATTTTCTAAGGTGCATATTTTAGCTTGAACCAAGATTATCAGCTCTGCTTGCAGATTGACTTTTCTTCCCAGGGACAACATGTCTGGACTTTCGGGGGGGGGGGGGGTCCTGGCAGGCAGAGGAAAGGGGTTTTGCTCACCTGGGGTGATTGTAGGCAATCTTCTTGAACTCCTCATTCCAGTTGGGTCTCCCGTAAAAGGTCTTCTGCCTTAAGCCCGTAACCACATCCGGGCTTTCATCCCCATGTAAAGCTATGTGAAGAGCCTAAATTAAAAAAAGTGTAGTATCAGTTGACATTAAAAAACAACCATAAGAACCATCTATAAACAAATGATGAGCTCACTATCATCATTTGCATACTTAAAATATTTTAAACAGGGCTTGGAATGCTTTATTAGCAGATGCCTCCAATGTTGTGCTTTAGGGCAAGTATCGTGTCTCATCTGTCTTTATATTTATTCTTGTTGGGACAAGATGCTGCCCTGTACAAAGACAGCCTGGGAAGGGTGAGAGTCACATGGTCAATGTGGTTAAGTGAACAAACACTGAATAACTTAGCTTTATTTCTGCCCTATGTCTCAAAACTCAATCTTCTCCCACTGTCTCCATTCATTTAATAATAAATCCAGGAGACTTGAGACAGGCATTTGCTGGCTAAAGTGCCATGAAATGCCCAGGAGGAGGCTGGGTCTTATAATTGGATATGCCTACTGTGGTGATATGGTTGATAGTCATTCCCAGATTTTTAGGACTGCCTCCCCCATGCCCCAGATACTAAAGTCTGCAGAGGCTCAAAGGTGCAGAGGTTATATTTGTATATAAGCTACACACATCCTGTCATATATTTCAAATAATATTTTTGGTCTATAAAGCCATACAACAACTTGGTAAATATTCGTTGTCCTGTATTGTTTAGGGAATAATGTAAATAAATAAGAAGGATATATATGTTTTCAGTGCAGATATATTTTTTTCAAATATTTTCAGTTCTCAGTTGGTTAACTATACATAGGTAGAGCTCAAAGATATGGAGAGCCAACTGTATATTAGTAAGTCTCGCGTGCTGAGGGGATATACTTGATAATGGGATGCTTATGACGGAAGAGTAAGGGGTCCGGATGGAACTCTGTAAGTGACTGGCTTCAGATCCAGTTAATTCACTCAGTCCTTGTATAATTAGAGGCTCGTAAATAAGAGCCTGGGGCACAATAATCCTTATAACCATGTGCAAAAGTACAAGCATCCGCTTCAGTCCCTGTGAATCCTAGACGTTATCTTGTTTTTCCCAATTCAGGTATGTGTGCTCTCCACCATTCCTGGGAAACATCGACGCTCCTGGAGCTCACGTACCAACGCTTCTCTCACCCTCTAACTCTTGATAGCTGCGGCAGTTTGGATAATAGCCCTGCTGCTCTCCACTCACGACGCGGCTTCCGGCTTTGAAGATGATTTGCCTGAAGGGTCCTTTTCCTAGTCTAAGAAGGCAGCCTGTGCCAGAGGTTCATATTCAACCTCAGAGTGGCTACCCTGACAGACCAGTGGACAGGGCAGACTGGCCTTCGGAATGCCAGACTCTGGGGATTTGCTGCCAGCAAGTCTGACTTGGGGAACAGCGCTCTGTTGCAAACGAGTTTGGGAATAGGACTCCATGCGGCATGAAGAGGGGAAGAGGAATCTGGACTGATGTGTCCGAGAGAGGAACCACCAGGAGCAAAAGCCTTGAACACACACAACAGGATGCATAAGCATCCATCAGTCAACAGCTCTGGGGCAATAGGAAAAGAATGAGGCTTGCCTAGAAACAGGTCAGGCTAAGGAGGTCCCTAAAGTACTTGTTAAGACATAGCGGCTTTCTCTGATGGGGAGAGAAAGGCCTTCCTTCCTTACTTCTGTGGGAATGCCCAATCTCTGGTGTTTAAACATTTGGAATTATAACTGTTCCATATTTCTCAATCCACTGTTCAATTAATCTCAAACTCTTTGGAGTTGCCCTTCATAATACCGCTCCCATCTGTCCCTTCTGTTCTTGTCAATTTGCCACTTTGAGGTTGGATTCAGCCTAAGAATCAGCTCTTTCTAAGACAGCCTCTCCGTGCCTGAGTAGCTGACAGAATGCACCAACAGTTTCTTTTCCTATGTGGAGATCACTGATTTCCTGCTTGAAATCTGGAAGTGTGAAGGATTTCTGACATGCCATGGGAAAATTTAAGAAACTGTCAATTTTAATTTACTTTAATTTAGGAAAAAAGAGTATATTTTATATCATAGTTCTGAACAGGGCAAAGATAGGGCAGGACAGGGTTGTGCTGTCCCAAAATCCACTTAGGAGTTCTGTTTAGAGAGTCCGAGTTTCATAAATCCCAAGAGACAGGGATTGGCTAAGTGGACACTTTGGATCAACTTGCCTTACAAGTGGAAGAGCAAGCAAGGGGCTGGGAAGTTAGAGACAAAAGCCATGTCTGTGCTTTACCAAAGGGGTCATCAGTCAAGAATCCCACTTGAATAGCAAAAATGTTTCTCTGGAAGACATAATTAACACTATTTAATCCATTAAGATCTGCAAGCCTAGTTCCCAAGAAACGTACAATTCAAATTATCCCAGAAGGTTGAATATTTAAGGAGGACTAGAATTAAGACCATAGAAATTCATAACACTTTTTGAATTTAAACTAGAGTCTTGCTCATTTATAGAAGCATAGAGCCAAGTTACAGTGAAGTTGAAAGAGAGAGAGAGAGAGAGAGAGAGAGAGAGAGAGAGAGAGAGAGAAAGCATTCACAAAATACATAAAGCAATCATTTGTAAATTTGGTGACTGGTACATAGCCCCTTCACTTAAGCATATTTTCTTTAAAGATACATATCAATGATACCATCTACATATCATCTAGAGAAAGCATCATTTAAAGTACGTATTTCATAACCTAGAATAACGGCTTTGTTATCCCCACTGTTTGGGGAGTCTGTTGCTGGAGAGAGGGCCTGCTTGTTCGTCCGGGCCGCCCAGCTAGCTTAGCCCCAAAATAACTGCACAGAAACTGTATTAATTAAAACACTGCTTCGCCGATTATCTATAGCCTCTTACTGGCTAACTCTCATATCTTGATTTAACCCATTTCTATTAATCTGTATATCGCCACATGGCAGTGGCTTACCGGGAAAGATTCAGCACATCTGTCTCTGGTGGCTCCGTGGTATCTCTCTCCTACTCCACCTTTCTTCCTCCCAGCATTCAGTTCTGTCTTCCTCGCCTACCTAAGTTCTGACTTATCAACTAGGCCAAGGCAGTTTCTCTATTCATTAACCAATGAAAGCAACACATGAACAGAAGGACCTCCTACACCAGGAGTCCAACTGAATTCGGGTGCAGTAGTCATCATTTAAGCACCGACTGTGATAGTTTTTTTTTTTTTAAATCAGTTTTGGAATTGTCAGGGTGTTGACACAACATCTTTGCCAAACTCAATCTTTATGCTATATCACTATAATGACTTGCAGAACTCTGCCCAAGCGGAAGGTCATCTCAACTTCAGGTACCTGTTTCCCGAGAATCCCTTAAGAGAGAGAATTCTCTATGCAAATCATGCGTCCATAGTAATTTTCTGACTCACACGCTTTTCAATACAAAAGACCAGACAGAAGCAACGGGGAATCTTTTCTGTTTTACTCTGAGCAGCATAGAATCAGAACCAATTAGGAATTCAACAGATGATACAGTCAATTAGTGACAGTCAATGGCGCCACTCTTAAAACAATAAATTTGAACTTTAAGATTCCTAATATCTGGGTTGTCATTTATTGCCCACGGTGTTTATCTTTTCTGTTCCACAGTAAGATAGCTGGAGGTCTTTTTATTGCTACATCTTAACTAGTTTTTTCCAGTCTAGTTTGATTCTGTTCTTCTCTCCCTTTTGAGAAACTTGAGAACAGTTTTTTGGTGCTGCCTGATAAGCCTGCAGTTCATTGTTGAAATGGGTTCTTTTTAAGAAGGGCGGCAGTATTGGAGAGCCTGGATTTTACTGATACCTGGTTTTCGTCCCAGCCAGTAAGGAATATATGGTAACTCAGCAAGTGAGCTTTCCCTCGCTCAGTCATCCGTGTTTCCAATGAAAGTAACAGATCTGCAAACCACTCAAATGCCCCGGCGTCCCTGCAGATCCAATAGAAGTACACCTGTTGGGAGAGAAGGCGGGTGCGCTGAGAGTCACAGGCTACTTTGCAGCTGTTAAAGGACTTGAGCCCAAATGGGCCGTTCTGCTAAATCACACCTTTTTCTTTACCAGCGAAGAAACCATCATACCATGATTTCTTTTGGGGGAAAAAAGAAAGAAAGGAAAGAATGAAAGAAAAAGAAAAGAAAACTTCCATTGTGTTTCAAAAGGCCCAGACTGAATTCAAGGAGTCAGGGTTTCCGTGGGCTGTGCCAGCCTCTTTGGATGAGGATCAACTTTCCACACTTCTGGCTGGGCTTCTTCTGAACAAGATTAATAATCATAACTCACGGTGCTTTTCATTGCTCCCCAAAGGGGATAAGCTGTTAGACCAGCCCCCTTCATCTTTACTTATGACCTAAGCTCAAGATTTCAACTCTCCTCTCTGGAGACCCCCCAAAGGCTCGGGCACTAATCCACTTCACCAGCCACAGCCTCTGGAGAATGGAGATTATGGTAATTGCAGAATGAAGTCTCATAAGACAGAAATTTCCTCTCAGTGAGACATATCAATGCCCTCGAAAGCTGGTGGGTAGAGGCTGTGCCTGCCCACGTGTCAACTGATGCAGTAACAATTGTTTCTGGGAAGGTTTTTGTTTTTGCTTACTTATTTTAAAAACATTCTCCCCGTGTTGAGCAAATGGCAGGTGACAAGAAACAGTTGGGGCTTGCTAAAAGAAAGGCTTGGCTCTGTGCTTTGAGTCTCAGATAATTGTATCTGGAAGAAACCACAGGAGACAAATCTCTGCCTTCTCTGGGTTCCACTCCCACACTTCTGCCCGCTGCTGTCCACTCAAAGGGACATCTCTGGGCCTCAGCAGTGTCTGCAGGGCCTGGTCCCCACTCCAGGTCCTTACTGTCTGATGTGTTAGCACCTGAAACATGCCCTCCAATGTCCAGGGTTTGTTTCCCTCCTCTCGTTCCCTCCCTCCCCTCTTAGTCAGCTTGCAAGTTCACCATCATATAGTCAGATTTATAAATGACATTTAATTAGTATCACAAGGAAAAGAAAATGGCAGAATGTATGTCATGGCTGAATATCTTGTCCACTCTTCAGATTTGTGCAGGCATTTGCGATGTTAGCAGTCAGGAAGAGCAAGGGATGGGAATCTAAGACCTCCCTCTCAGAAGCAGAGGTTGCATATTTTTTTGGATGGCTCCTGCTCTAATGAAAACTCATAATATTAATCCAAGGAGAAACGGTCCCTTAGACCAGCAGTCCTCAACCCATGGGTCATGATCCCTTTGTGTGTGTGTGGATTGTATATCAGATATTCTGTATGTCAGATATTTACCTTACGTTTCATAACAGTAACACATTTACAGTTATAAAGTAGCAATGAATTTTTTTCAAGACAGGGGATGCTCTGTGTAGCTTTGGAGCCTGTCCTGGACTGGTCTCGAACTCACAGAGGTTTGTCTGCCTCTGCCTCCTGAGAGCTGAGATTAAAAGCATGTGCCACCACCACCCAGCTGCAATGGTATAATTTTAGCCACAGTGTGAGGAACTGTGCAAAGGGTTGCAGCATTAGGAAGGTTGAGAACCGCTGCCTTAGACCTCAGGCACAATTACCACCTCTAAAAGACTGCTGTCATCTTCCTGGCTGTCATCCTTCCCTGGAGTGTGTAATCCATAGTCCCACCAGTTAGCTTCAAAACATAACAGAGCTGAGAGCTAGCTCTTCCTGCTGAATATCCCAAGAGATCTCATGAGCAGAGGACAGTGCCCATCTACTCATTCACTGGTTCACAAATGCTTACACAATGATTACCATGGGTAGAGACCAGTTTACGCTCCGGAACAATGATAGTGAAGAAGACAGGCAAACAGACATACAAAGAAAATGCCCATCTTTATGGAGTTTTTATCTTGGAGAAAGAGGGTGGTATATAAATACATGAAGTATAGAATATGTCAGATGGTAATCAGGCAGTGTAGAAACAAGGAAGTCTGGGAAAGGACACAATATTGACTTGAATGGCAAAAAGAGACTCCACTGAGGAGATGCTTGAACACAGCTGTGGAGGGAAGAAGACATCAGATGGTGTTCTAGTTTCATTCTGCTGCTGTGATAAAACACTTGAATCAAAAGAAACATGGTCCCAGTCCATCATTGATGTAAGTCAAGGCAAGAACCCAAGCTGGACCATGGAGAAGAAACCATGGAGGAATACTATTGGTTGGCTTGCTCTCTGGCTCTCTCACTGACTCATGCTTACCTATCTTTTTCTCTTTTTTTTCAATAAAGTCCAGAACTGTTGGAGGAACATGAGCTGGCCTGCTTTTCTTCCTGCCTTGCTCCTGCTAACTTAACCCTCAAAATAACCACATAGAAATTGTATTAATTAAACACTGCCTGGTCCTAACCTCTTATTGGCTAACTCTTACATATTCATTTAACCCATCTCCATTAATGTGTATCGCCACTTAACTGTAGCTTACTAGAATGAGTCTAACCAGCGTCTGTCTTTGGCAGGAGAACCATGGAGTCTGCCACACTACCTTCTTCCTCCCAGAATTCTGTTCTGTCTACTCCACCCACCTAAGGGCTGCCCTATCAAAAGGCCAAGGCAGCTTCTTTATTCAACCAGTAAAATCAACACAAATACAGAAGGACCTCCTACACCACAGGATCATCTTCCCATGGTGGGCTGGCCCATCTTGCATCAATCAATAATCAAAGCAGTTCTGTTGGGAAAAATTAATTTTAGGTGTGTGACTTTTGTTTACACTGCATTTGTTTAACTCTGTGAAGCTGTGTAACTGTGCCTGCCTAAAACACCTGATGGTCCTAATAAAGAGATGAATGGCCAATAGCAAGGCAGGAGTAAGGGCAGGTGGGACTGGTAGGCAGAGTATAAATAGAAGAAGAAATCTGGAAGAAAAGAATGTGCAGCAAGAGAACAAGGAGGGGAGGATATAGGGCCAGCCACCCAATCAGTCACAGAGTTAGAAGGAAAGAAAGATATACAGAAATAGAGAAAGAATATGTGAATAGGGCATCCACAAATGAACAAGCAGCCTCCTACACAGAGGCAAAAGCTGGTCAGGTTAAGAAAAGCTGGCAAAAAACAAGCCAAGCTAAGGTTGATCATTCATAGCTAGTAATAAGCCTCCATGTGTGATTTATTTGGATGTGGGGTGGTGGACCCCTCAAAAAGCCAAAAGAGTAAAACATCACACAATACAATTCCTCACAGATATGGTCACAGTCTGATCTAGGCAATTCTTCAATTGAGGCTTCTCCTTTCATATGATTTAGGCTGTGTCAAGTTGACAATTAAGCCTAACCAAACCAAGATACTCCATCCCTTGTCAACACCAACATATCACTGTTAAACCATAACCTTCTCTTTCTTATCCCTTATGTTAATGTCATAATATAAAACACAGTCTGAAGTTAAAAGTTCCACAGTATTTCAAAATTCCAATGCTTTTAAAGTTTTCTGTCTCTTTAAAAGTCTAAAATCTCTTAATGGTGGACTTTTATAAAAATATAAATAAATTATATATCCTGCGACTGCAAAAAGGAAGACCTGGGCATAAAAATAACCAGACCAGGATATGGAATAAGGGGAATACTTATCCACTGCTGGTGGGATTGCAAACTTGTACAGTCAGTGTGGCAATCAGTGTGAAGGTTCCCAAGGAGGAGAGGAACCATCTACCTCAAAATCCACTTATACCACTTTTGGGCATGTACCTAAAGGATGCTTCATCCTACAACAAGACACTAGCTCATACATATTCATTGCTATTTCATTCATAATATCCAGAAATTGTAAACAACCTAGATGTCTCTCAACAGAAGAATGGCTAAAGAAAATATGGTGCATTTATACAGTGGAATATTACTTAGCCATTAAAGAAATAAAGTCATGGAATTTTCAGGCAAATAGGTGGAACTAGAAAAAAAATCATCCTTAGTAAAATATCTCAGATCCAGAAAGACAAATATGGTATTTATTAACTTATGTGTGCATATTAGCCTTTAAGTCACCGATAACAAAGCTACAATCCACAGAACCTAAGAAGGCGGGCATAGAGTAAGGGACTGGAGAGTACAGATAGATCTCATTAGGAAAGAGAGATAGAATAGGAATTATGTATGGATGGGTGGGCTGGAGTTGGATGATCAAGTGGAAAAGGAGATGGGGTAGGAGGTTGTTGGGGAGAATACAAGGAGACAGCTAAAATTAAGGACCATTTGAGGGATAGTATAGAAGTATAATACAGTAGAAACTTCCTAAAATATTCACAAAGACTCACAGCCAGACATCACACACACACACACACACACACACACACACACACCTCCTCTTCCTCCATCATGAAACTCTGACGCCTTCAAAATCAGTACTGGGTGGGTGACCTTTGTTCACTGCCGTGTTCAGCTACCAGCTTGAGATGCAGCCCTGCTCTGCTGGACCACAGATCTGTGGGCTGACCCCGAGGAAACACTTCCCAGAAGACTTCAGAAGTGATGCTGATTTCTTATTAATTGTGGCTGATTCTTTAGCCCCCGATGACCAGCATCCACTAGTGAAGCCCAGTGCTCTCCTCAGAGGAATTACACCTTTTTGACAACCACAGCTGCTTCTTCAACTCCACATCACCAGCGACCACAATTCTTAGCCAAAATATAACACAAATGGTCCATAGTCCAATTATTAATTACATCCTTGCTACTTTCTGAAACCTCATGAGTAACGCCTCCACAGCCCACATCTCCCTCAGCATTGTCTTCCAAGCTCCCATAAGAGTTCATTAAGCTCCAAGCACTCAATGGCTTTTGTAGCCCAGTGTTCCAAAAATAATAATTAAAAAAAAAAACCAACAAAGCGAACGATAAAAAACTGGTTTCCGAGCCTGTTCTGACCTTTCTGACCTGAAAAATGCCCACATCTTAGCATTCTCCCCACTGTAACCTTTGTCTTTTCAAATAGCAATTGTTCCCGTCC